CAAGCGCATTAGAAAAAAGCTTTAGTTTTGGTTTTTATTTTAGAATATTTAGCATTCGATAGCGCCGAAAGAAAATCGCAAAATAAAATATAGAACACGAGAGAATGACAACACGCGAAAGTACATCTTCTTAGCTCTACAACGAGAATATCTATTTTGTAATTGCGAAAATTTATAAATTTTTCTAAAACAATTGATATAAATTCAAAATTTACATACATATACATAATTAATCATATATACAGTATATACATGTATATACAGTATATAAATTAATCATTTAATAATTAGTAAATTATTTTTAACGGCAATTAAATAGACATGGCTCGGGAAAATATGTAATCAATAACCACTAATCATAATTGAATATGAAACCAAAATATATATTAATAGAGAAAATATATTTGATTAACAAATTTAACATAATTTTGGTATGTACAATTTATTTGCATATGTTGATAACTTAATATATCACCGTAATAGCCGTTAAAAAAACTGTTTAAATTCCACTTGTGAACACATTTCATTTATTATGTGGCGAATGTATTGCATTCAATTTAAAATATAGATTTATTGGCTGTTCTTCAGTTTTTACTGTTACAAATCAGTCAATGAAGAAAAGTAATATTACAGTCACAAATTATCACAATTTTACAGCACATTAATTTTCTTTTTCTTACGATAATAGCCGATATTTTTATTCTAGCAATTAAGATTTGAATCTTCCATTCTTATAAGTAAATGAAAGATATTTTGAATCTATCTTTTTTTTTGATATTTTGTTCATTACTTTCAAAATCTAAAATATACGCTAACTTTCGTGTTTATAAAAAAATGACTTTTATTAAATAATAATTATTTCAACAAAGAAAATTTCATTTATACTTTTGATTAAAAAAGGCAATTGTTCGAATGAAGTCGATCGCTTTTTATATCTTCTTATGCAATATGCCTATTTTGAACATTTGTTTGAAAATATCACGCTCCCTTCCATATTTTATCATTCTCTGGGCTATAACGGGATAGCATCGTTCTCTTTTGTTCACAAGAGGATAGGCGGTGTACAAAACGTTGGTGACACACGCGATCGCAGTTTGCCCACTTTGTCTCTTTTCCCAGTCTCAATATATTGTTTTTTTTTGTATCTTCAAACGAACCGAGTTTTACGTCGCGCGCATAATTTAGGAACTTAAGAATACTGTCACTTCTTGTCGATATACTTTAATCTCCGCCATCTTGTCGCTGTACGTCTCTTTGTGGTCATGAAAAAGTATTGCTAACGTTCTTTAAGAATTGACTCGTTTTACACGCATTATTATTAATTCTTTTCTTTCCTTGCGTGCACGTTTATCAAAAGAAACAAAATGACTGCCGTTCCACGTGACGCACGTATCCAATTTAATAAAATTATTTCTCTTTTTCTCTTTCTCTCTTTTTTTTGTTTACCCTGTTGTTTAATGCAATAATAATAACAGCACGCATATAATAATCGCGTATATAATCGTCGTTTATATAATTATAATTCATCGCTCTTTCTTGTGAATTTAATTATAGTAATGATAATATGTAATAAGGAACCATTTATTCTGCGATATCAACGAAACGCGAATGTCCCAGTCGTATAAATTACGCGCATAATTTATTAGGGGCGATGTGGCCCTTGTTACCAGAAAGAAGGGAGGAATTTCTCGTAAATCCTCTGCCAATGCGATGAGACCTTTTGCACTCGTACATTATGTATTTTTAACGCACTGCCATTGTACTATAATAACAGCTGTATAAGATTTCTTTTTATGCGTGCAATTTTTGTTTTAAAAATAAAAAAATTTAATACCTTTACAAATAACGTGGAAGAATCTATAATTTTCTATCTAGTTTGTTCTTAGAATCCAGTGACATTTTGTCAGTTACCGTTATTAAACGATTTGCATTATTATGGTTTATATGTTACAAAAGAATGCACGCATAATAAAAATTCAAGTATTTGTATCAACATCGATTATCATCAATCGAGATAAACATGAAATTTCCTTTCCTTGTCTATATTATGTAGCTAGAAGTTTAATCTAGAAGATGATATTAAACCGATAATTCAGAGTTAATTGAACGAGACCGTTGATGCAACTTGCAATTAGCCTATGAATGTTAGTAATTAACTCGGTGATGATAGCCATCCATTGAAATGGACCTTCTCGTCCGGTTATTTAAAGAAATAACACTACATGTCGATCACTCTTAATCGTCCAGGAAGCTCTCATGTGACTTGAATAATCATTTCTATTCTCACGCTAATTGAAATTCCTCTCGTCTTTCCGCGCAATATCGTAAGGTCACGGCAAAGTTAACCTAAACTTCAATTACCAATAATCCATTAGAATCTATCCAATCTTCACTCATTCACTCATCAATTGGATTGCGTTATACAATATAAGTTAAGTGATATTATCTGAAAGAAGGAGAAGTGATCACAAGTCACACAAGTTAGAATACGGGAAAAACGACTTCAGAATGCAACCTTTAGACTGAAGCATCATTTTATTTGTTTTATTTGTTTTCTGCATTATATTAATCGTATAACGTAGTCCAATTGAGACTTGGATCTCAAAAAGAGCCTACCTCTCGTTTTTACGTCGAGTGGACCTTGGGACTCTCCTAATATCCGAAATATTACTGGAAGCGCGATGGGACGCAACATCCGATGTCCAGCCATATTTGCGATATATAGATTATAATATAATATTCACTCTCACGTTTATGTCTTTCCTCGCTAGCCCATTTTAGTCCCTATATCTAATCGCGGCCGCAATTAACGGTTACGCATTTTAATCCTAATGGGTAACTCTTTCGCACTCTCATGCACACTCTTATCGTCTTTCTTCCTATTTCCTTTCGCGCTCGGTCTTTCTCTCATATAACTTTAGATTTTTATTTCTCTTTTTTTCCTTTCTCCTTCGATCGTCCTCCCGTTAAATTAGCGTTTGAAGCGCATTGTCGACCGATGCTTCGTATATCGCGGACGAAGATTACGCGACATTTTTCTATGTATATTTTATATACTACCTTTTCTCAACTCGATCCTTTACCGATCGTTTGATCTCCCGCTGTATGAATCTTAAGTTTGCACCTATACGTTGGTTATCACCGACGCTGGTTAACTAAATTTCTTTGCTTGTCTATGTGTTGTAAGTGGAACTATAATCTAATGAAGAACCATGAATCGCTAGACTCACACGCCAATCAGAGCTAATTAAGCCAGACTATCGGTGTAACTCAGCCTTAGACGATTAGACATCGGGGATGTGGAGGGTGTGTTATAGCTTTTGTATGTACGCGTGTGCGTGAGTGTCGTGTGACGTGTGTCGCGGTTATTTGCCACTAAAAAAAAATTCATATCTTCTTTCTCTTTGATCGCATCGGCTCGTTTATAGGGTCATGCATATACGGCATTATTTTAAATTAATTATATGGTAATTTGCGTATGATACGCGTAATATACGTGTATATATATATATATATATATATGTATATAACGAGGGTTACTGCACGTAATCGGTTTTAAAGCTATACAGCGGCCGATTAGAGTCAAAACAGTCATTGTCAGGCGCCTTCGAAAGCTCCAAATGGAACTGAAGTGAACGTTCGGTATTAGTCAGAATTACAGAGTAGTATAAATCAACGTCATTTACATCCTGATTTTTCTTCTATTTTAAAAAGAACATTGTACTGTCCAGTGATGTCGTCGTAATGTAGTTTAAGTATTTCTAATATAATGAAGGAATTTTATAACTTTCCAAAACTACTTAAATTATCATAAAACATAGTATTCTTATCATCCGAGATTATCGGATTTTAATAACGGCTGAATAAATAATAAAATTTTGAGTAGGTTCAATAAATAAGTGAGTTGAGTTTGAATTATATTTCTATAAACGCATGCATCAAACAACAGTTACGTTATCTATTGGAATATAAATGGTAGATTTTGTCGGTAAAATGTAGCTAGAGAACGTCCACTATTCTGTGATCCTAACAATATCATCCACTGTTCCTTCTTTCTGGAAATCTTCCGATGTTGCGCATCTCATCGTTTGCCTCGTCGGCCCGAAATTCGACGGCAGCTTTCTCGCGCGTGTCTCTCTTCCATCTTCCCACAAATAATGCTAACAGCGTGACATCAAGTATGTAACACGCCTATGTAACTCCCTCGCTCGCTCGCCGCTACATCTTTCTGCATTATTTCGTTGCGCACCCGGGAAAGCAGTACTGCGACAGGACAGGAGAGAAGCACCGTTTCGCCATTTAGCCAGCGAAAAGGCACGTTGGGAGAGAAGAAGGAGTTTGAATCTGCATGTACAGACGTAGAGAAAGGGCAGCAAAAAGGATCGCTTGATTTATCCGCTCTACTTTTTCATCTACTTTCATTCCCTCTTCTCCTTTTCTCTCTTCTCCGCGTCATCGTTACCTCTCTCGGCCGCCATTTAACCCTCTTCAACCCTTCCCGCATACAATTAAAACTTGAAAGCCCAGAAACAAAGTCTTTCCCAGGTGTGAACGCACGTATGTGCCTATCATTATATAATGTACGTGGGCACGCGTGGTGCACGGCGCTCGTTAATAATTGCAATCGCCAATAATCATATAATAATTAATAATTATTATTAATATTCGTGAGAGTTGGTATCTCTTCTGTTTCTTTAACTGCCTTAAATACTAGAGGTCATACGTTACCGTCTATAATAATTATCAATTATTTATATATTTATATATATATATATATATATGTATGTGTATATATATATTTATATCTTTATATATATATATACTATTTATATATATTCTAGACTTAACCGCTTAAATATTTAGCAATTAATAATATTAATTTAATTTATTATTATATTATTATTTCTTTTATTAATGTCGGAGAACGGGCTGGCGTCAATACGCAGTTTCGGCCATAACTAGCCTATTGCAGCGCGCGTTGTTACCTCTTCCTGTTTCTATCTGACGGTCGGTCTTCCTGTCGCTTTTCTCGTCTTTTTCCTCTGGCCTACTCTGGACGTCTTCCCCGTTGCGCGTCAGTTTTTTTTCCGTTACTCATCAACAGGATTAATTTTCTTCTCTCTATCTATAGTTGCATCCAACTGGATTCGACTAATGCTCTAAATTCTTTCTTAATGCATTATTGCATATTCGCGTAATATTACATCCGGTTATTTACAATCCGGATTTCGAAGTTGCATCGATTGGATCTTATTTAATAGTTGCCTTCTGTTCGACATTATCCGTTTTTTAATATATTGCAACTTTTGATCATTATTTATATCTTTGTATCTATACAGTAGGCGTGTTATTTTTTTCGTCCAGAGATCGTCCACTGTTTAGCTGCCTCAAATCGTCCGTGTTGCTTATTATATCAGGCGACCGTGCTGCGTTCTGCCGTCTCGTCCATCCTGACGAAAAAGAATTAAAAGTTCAACAAGTTAAAATTTGTCTTCTGAAAAAAGCGACCATCAGTTTTGATTTCAAATGGACTCATACAGCCGACGTAAAATAAAAAGGGACCTAAAATTTCTTTCTAAAGACATATCTGAATCTTGTGAGTGTCTTTTAGATGTGTAAAAATTAAGGAGTGTCTATTTTTATATGAATCGTTAAAAAAAATACGGTTTATTTTATCATTCAGTGTTTTTTTTTGTTATTGTTTCAAATATTATAGAATTGTTTCCCATCAAGATAATGTTATATCAAAAGTTTGTAAGATGGGAGAAAAAACTAAAACTATTTAGCATATTGTACAGTAATGCTAATAAACGTTCTTGTAATCGCCAATAATCATGTAATAATTAATAGAATGTTCTTAATAAATTTATCTCGACATAAAACGTAAATACAACTGGACAAAATATTGGCGACAGCACACATACCTGTTATTAGGTCTTAACAAGGCTCAATGGTAGCCATTAGTGAACGCCGCTGGTATTAGAGGACCCTGGAACAATACAATATATCGGTCTCATCAACCTTCCCATAAAAATAATGATTATTACACAAGGGTGAGCATAAAGATAAACCTTTACGTTTGCCTGCATATCTAAAATTGCAGCGTGCAATTGCGGTACTTGGCCTTTGAGGTTACAAAATCTTTTTTTCTTTTTTTCTTTTTTGCTGTTTCTCAAAATTCCATAATATATGTAGATACTAATAAGTGACAAAAATGCAAAGAATAATACGCGAAGTGATGTTACATGGGTAGAGTCTTGGATATATTAAATATATTGATATTGCAAAGAATGAATGGATTAGATAAATATTAAATTTATTTTCGATACAAGCCAATGTAATAATTGTCATACTATACCTGACGGACCAGAGATGTATTCAGAAAATATAGAATCAGAATATAGAATGTATAAAGCGTATATAATATGTACATAGAAGCAATCTTCTTTTGTGAGATTGATAACCGGTTGCATTAAATATAATATATATTCGCAAGAAGATATTGTATCTCCACATTTGCTTGTTATAAATGCATAAAGCTGATGAAAATTGCAATATGGAACGAAGCGATAAAGAGCTTGGTCGAGGATCAAATAATTCTTTAATTTTGCAATATTTTTTTACATTAGTGTAAAATTCATTTCAAACTTTTGCATGCGACATAAACGTTTAAAGAAAAAAAAATATGAATGTACATTTTTTGCATGAAATTTATCTGGATAATTTGTTTGTTTCATCAGTCAAATATTTGTTGAGAAACGTTTAAATGTCGAGAATACATTTGAGCTATTGCATTTATTATAATTAAAATGCGATGTAAAAACTTTCTTTAATTAGCTTTTTTTTTCATAATTGTTTCCAACTGTTACTTCTTCTGATATCTTCCGGTTTAACCTCGCATCTGTTAATTAAAATGTTTTAAAAATTTTATTTAGTCGATGAAATTCAATTAATGAAACTTGTGAGGAGAGAGAACAATTCACTTGTTGTGGATGCAATAAGAGCTGTCGTGCAGCTTATGATGTTAGCGATAGAACAAATTAGAAGTGAGTAAATCATTGCTGCTCATCATATATATAAAATATAATACGGAAGTATCAGACTTTTAAAAATTCGACCGGGCCTCTTTTATCCTTTCGTTCCATCTTATAATCGGGAGGGGCCCGATCCGATGAAGAAGAAAGGGGGAGCATTAAGTGGACTTACGGGACTGTAGTTGAGCGGGGCACGGGATACGGCGATCGCGGGGAACGCGGTCGTGGGGGGCTGCGGGCTAGCTGCGGCCTGGACGTAGCAAAAGACCGTCCCGCGGCGCCACGGTGCCCTCCGGCCGCGTGCGGCGACGCCGGTGGGAACCCGGCCTGCGCTGCGGCCGCCTGGTAGTTGTTCATCACTGCAACGAACCCGCGTCAATCTTCACCCTCTTATCCCTCTTATCCGATCGAACGGACTTGACGGACTTGACGTCGTTGAGTCTTGACTCTTGAGACGAGAAGAAGCCTCACGAGTGAAGCTCTTCCTCGCCTTCCGCGAAACCCGCAAAAAACGCCAAGACACTTGGAAGTTTCCTTCCGAATTTAGATTTTTGTTGTTAAAAAATGCCAATAATAATTATTCTTTAAAACATCCCCAATTACTGCGGCCCAGTTTATGGATAATACAATATAATCCACTGTAATTTGATCATTCTTGTAATAACATTATCGTTTTACATTAATATCAGTTTTTTATTTATTTTCATTATCCGAAAGAAAAGTAATTTTTCTTACAAAGCCAATGTATGAAGGTTCAGCTTTGACTGTGTCAGAGTAGTTGAGGACAAAATCTAAAAAGATGTCATCTCTTTTAACCGTTAAATAACTGCAAATTAAATTATCATTAAACCGCGTTTAATTTTCAATCCTGTAATTGTAGCGTAAACTGTTTAACAACAATTAAACATCTGAGTGACAATTATGAGACATGTATATTCGGATTGTTTCATTCTACCCGCGATAGCGATACGAGCGTTGCATGCCTTATCCTTTTTAGGAATCTTTCATGCAAGTACCTTGAGGCACGTTGCTCCGCCGTTGGCGTTTACCCCTAGTTTTTAGTTTTTTCGTCGCTTTCCGCTTACTAATATCAAACTCATTTCAGTTGTATAATGATACGCTCTAGCAGGTTAAATCTCATTAGAGATAAGGTTCTTTAACTCATATATATATATATACTATAGTGTGATGTTCGTTGTAACGAGCTCACGCATTCGTGCACAAATGAACGACGACAATCTCTGGTCTACATTTTACTGTGCATGTTAAATGACCGCGCGTTTAAATGATCACGTAAATGATGCCATTATATCGATGAGTACGTATCTCGTTTGCACACATTGAATACAAGGAAAATGATAGAGTCCATTGAACGAGTATTTTCTCGTAATTTCATTTGGAAAAGAAAAAGGAAGGAATGAAAGAAGACACTCATGAAGCGCATTGCAAGGCAACCTTTACATACGATCATAGAGATAATAAGAAAGCGCCTTGTACATATATATGTATGTATTGTACAACACGTCAATGGGACAAGCAACGCAATCGCACGAGGCAGTGACGGCGATCGACTTTGAAAAGTTACGAGATACAACAGGCTTTCGACTACGATTACTGTTCTAATGTTTGGTTCGTACGAGGGTTGATTTTCCTTCGTGCTCTTGAGAAGTCAGACGCAAAAGTTAACAAGGTTCGTTCGATAGAAAGACTAAGCGACGAAAACTAAACTTACCCCATTTCGCGATCAGCTCTCGAAGTAAAGACCCCGTGAGATTACAACGAGGGAAAATCAAATATGAAACGACACTATGATGCGGATAATTACGAAATTTGGTGCGTTGGGAGATAAGTTAAGCATTTAATTGTATCAATACTTTTTAAAAATAACATATGCATTTTTTTTTGTTATTGAATAAATTTATATATAAATCTGAGAATTGCTAAAATAGAAATAATAAATTATTTCATATAAATATATATATACTTCGTCGATTATAGCGAAAATAAGGAAATTCAAAAACAATTTTCTATTTCTTTTAAAGAATTTAATAAAATAATCTTGTTCTCCCTTTTGCATCAAATTCAATTGTTGGCAAGAAAAAATAATATTAATTATTGAAAATAATATTAATCTAATAAATTAATAAACAATACTAATCTAGAGCTAATTTTTCACAAATAATTGTGCATTAAATAATGTTCTTTCTAATAATATAAATCTTTCGGGTATCTTTCATTTTTTACTATGCTTTTGTCTGCTTTTGCAATTGGAATATTTCGTGCAGTAAAACGACATGGGAAATATGTGTAACTTCTGCGAACTTTTTCTGCACGTTAACGAATGATATTTGATACATAATGCGCAGCAAGGATTAAGTACTAATGCGATTACTATGTTTATAGAATGTTCGAAACTCTCTTTCTAAACCCTGCCAACAACTGCTCTTCGTTCCCATACATACAAAAGTAACAAGGAACGAAATCATAGCGAAACTACTCTACGCTACTTTCGAAGCTGTATCACACACAGGAAAACAGTGTCTCGGCGTGTCGTCCGCATTCTGAAACTTTAGTACTCGTAAAAACTCTGACAGATAGCCAATAAGAAGCGGCGGAGATTAATGCATCTGACTCGAGCAATTCCGTATATCGCGCTCACGTTGTTCGCGCGCAAGAGCTCGCGTAAATGTCATACGGTACGTACTTTCGGATTAACGGCGGTCACGAAAGCGAAGGAAGAAAAAGATGACGAGAAAAACAAGAAAGAAGAAGAAGAAGAAGAAAAAGAAGCGAAAGAAATAGCAGAGGAGAGAGAGAGAGAGAGAGAGATCATAAGCGGGCGGTACGCGAAGAATTTGAAACTCTCGAGGCAGGCGAGGAAAAGAGAGACCGATGCGGTGACGACGGGGCCACGGGAAACCGAAAACGCGTCCCCGGCGTGGCGTATAATCTAAAAACCCATTCAGCTTTTAAACTCTTGACAATGGCGGCCGGTTACAAAGTTTTGTGCTGGTACCATAGCGAGAGGAAGGCGCGTAGGGATCGTAGGGGGATCGGAGGAGGAACGAGCGTGATTCAAAAGTTTGATTTATTTGAGAGAAGATTGCGGACGGCACGACGCGACGGCGGGCAGATCGGGGGCAGATTCTAGATGGGGAGTACGACGAAAAAAAAAAAGAATAGAAGAACTACAGAGGCGTATTTTGCTGCCGGCATCCCGGCGCCTTCGTATGTGTGGCGCTTCTCTTCGGGAAATGCCTGCATGCCGCTCGATCGCTTCTTTTCCTTCCGTTCTCCCGCGTCTCATCTCCGCGATTCGACAGGAAGTGATGATCGCGTGATAACAGAGAGATGAAAAGTAATGAGACGGTATCTGTTTAGGATTCAATAATATTTTTCTTTAGGAAATGACGTTATTTTATAACGAGATGAAGGAAGGTGTATAAAGAAACAGGAAGTTTTCGTTAAATTGAAAAATTATTCGTCTCTGCTTTTATTATCTGGCAGAATAAGCGACAAGATCTCACTTACTTTATTGATATTCCGAAAATAACATCACGAATGACGTTATTGACTTCCTACGATAGTTTCCTTTGATTGGTTAAGATTTATATATATATACATATATATATATATATATATATATATATGTATATATATATATATATATATATATATATATATACATATGTGAGTACATATAATGCGGTAGTTAATAAAATATTTCTACGTATAATAGTCATGCACAGTAATGATATCAATCATGCACAGTAGCCATGCTTTCAGTTGTTCGCGTACACGAATCGTAATCGTCTTCTGAAATTACAGACATTAACCGATCGAAATCTTTCTCCGACTATTATTATTTCACTAAATGGAGATTGATTCTTGAGAATTAACATGAAATGATAAAATTTGAAATCTTAAAGGATAACGTTTCGCAAAATTATCCATTTCCATATTTAGAAGTAGAATTGAGTTTGAGAGAATATCGCATCAAAATACTGGACGTATTAAAATGAGATGGCAAAAGCAATGATTGATTCAAACGTAATATTCCATTTAATGTTTTATTCCGCAATATTCCGTTCATGCGACCGTGAGTATTCTTTCAAAGATATTGCGCACAATCCTTACTGCTTGCAATCTCGCGTGACTAGTTAACGAAAAAGCCATCATAGCCGAAATTGTTTGCATTTCTGAGCGAATCGATCGCGACGCGACGAAGCGAGTTGAGAAAGCGCATTACATTCGCAGTCAAAGAGAAGAAAAACTTTTAAAACGTACCAGAAAGTGCTTGTGTAAGTAAGGGCGTGTTGTTGTTTGGGGTGAGTTGTCCATTGGTTAGATCCACTGAAACATAAAACTTCGGTCACAACTGCGCTATACTTGAAACACACGTAGGTATGTGCTGCTGCTATTCATTTTCGTCGACTATCACTCGGCAATAGTCTAAAAGCTAATTATATATATATATATATAATATATGCATACATATAAAAGGAAAAAAAAAGAAAAGAATAGAATAGAGAAATGATGACGCCAGATGGACGATTGAAGAGAGAATAGACGCAAAAAAGTGATTTTTCTGAATGTGTTGCTTTGCCAATTGTCTCTCTTGTTTTCGAGTTTCGTCCAAGGATGTTGACAATCCTCGAGTGCATACGTGCCTTCTGCCTCTCGTCTTTGACACATTCAAGCGTGAAAAGTGGCTCTTAAACATTCGTATACAGACACCGTGGTTCTTCTATCGCGAAAAATTACATTCGACGGATGAGTTCGCGCGTGTAAGGAAACACGTTGGAAATAACGGAAGCGCCATACATTCGCCGAAAAGTGTGACAGGTGTTTTTCTCTAGGCACTCTAGAAAGCTCTTGCTCGTATCCTTGGTATCAGCTTTCTCCATCGGGCGAGGATGCTCGAAACCGCGTTGGCGTTTACTGCCACGACTACGGTTTCGATTCGGATGCATCGGCTGGCTGTGGCAATAATGGAACCTAGGAGTATCGATCGCCGTTGAAACTACAGTGCGAGAGACTCCCTAGAGTAGCACTCGATGCATCGAAATGCACTTCGGTATTAATATGCATTTTCCATACGGAATAGACGAAGGCAGAAACGAACGAAACGCGATAAACGAGGTGGAACGATTCAGGGAGAATTCTCAAGAAATGGTTGTACTTCGAAAGATCGCGCATAAGGGATTTCTGCAGATAGAGATAGAAAGAAAGTGAAAAAGATGTGAGAGAGAAAGAGAATGAGAGAAAGAAACGGATGATGGTGGAAAAAAGATACGTATGTAAAAGACAGATAGGCAAACGAAGAAAGAGAAGGAGGTGTTTCGAAGTGCGTATTTCGAACAAAGTGAATGTCGACTTCATACATTTCTTTCGGAGTGCATTGCGTTGGACGTGTTGCATCGGCGCCTCTGTATACGCGCGGCCTGCATTCTCACTTCCTGTTCCGTGGTAGTACACCGCCGGCACTCCTAACATTAATAAAGAACAAGAAGAAAGCTGAGAATGATGAGAAACAAAAACGGGGACGGGGAGTACGATCTGTAATGCGAATTGTTATCATGACTAAGAAGAAACAAAGATTTATGTTACCGTACTGCGTGAATTAAATAACACATTGTATTATTGCGTAGAAGCATTTCTATGCTAAAATTTAAGTTTGACAACGTGCGTACCTGCGTGACTTTGTACATATAGAAAGATATCATTCTATTGCTAAGAAGACTCTCTCTTTTATTATTAAGTAACGGTTATCTTTAATAAAGAAAATTTTCTTGGTAATAATCATAAAAAATATATTTATTATAAAGTTTAAAAAATTCGTTACTATTATGTGCTTAAAGAATTACTTTCTTCTAAAGAACGTTATAAAATTGATCGAAAAAACGACTTTAAATAATAAGCGAATTGAATTCGTTTTAATTTAATAGTCTTAATTGAAGTATTAAACTTATTAGGATTTTTTTGGAATATATTTTGCATGTATTTTGACGATGCTTGTGACGAACTTATTATAGATTTGTGAGTATGTGAACTTTTGAAATATTTGAAATAAATAATTATTATTACGTACAGTATATGTCTTTCTGTGTGTGTAGATATCGTAATATAAATATATTTGATAATTCATATTCAATATTTAAATTGCATTTATATTGTCAAGTTATAAAAAACACTGTAACGTAACATATGATAACATAAATTATATTTGCTAATTGAAATATTTAAATTGCAATTGTTAAAGCAAAAAGAATTCTTTTATTTCTTATATTTTCTATTCCATTTCCTCTAACGTTAGATTAGTTTTGTAATTACACATTTTGTATGTATATCTTTATTACTTTCTGTATATACATATGTTTTAGCTAATAGATTAGAAAATATAATTTAAATTTATCAATTTTAATTCGATTAATTGCATCTTATTGAACGATGCGTGGATATTATTAGGTACATATTATTAGATTGTTTCATTCTGTTATATTGTTAATAACTTAACTAAATTGCGATTTGCAAAATGAATATTATTGTCACGCATTACGAGAACATTAAAAAATTAAAAGGGAAATCACACTTATAAAAGATTAAATAAAGCATTTAAGATTGTCGTCAAATGTAAACGTGTCAGCGAAAATACTGTCTCAATTTAGTAGATATTACTTTGTGGTATGTGGCATATGGGAGCATCGTGGAAAAACTGGAAAAATGCAAATAAGAGATGCAATGGAAATAGCTAGGAATAGAAGCGGGTTAAGCTTGTATATATATATATATATATGTACGTATATATTTTTCATATCCAGATGGATGTTCACAACGTAAAATGCTAAAGATTAATTTCTCAATAATAGCATTTTTTTCCAATCAATACAAAAGTCATAGAGAACGCAAAAATTTTATATACATACGCTCATTAAATCTCAAATTAAGAATAATTATAATTATACAATAGTATTCGAATTTTAAATACTTTCAAATAAGAATAATTTTAGTAAGTCAAATTTTAGGAACGTATATATAAATACATAACGAATTCTCATTTTATTTTAAATAAATTTTAATTAAATAATTAAAGTATTTAATTTAATATAATATATGAATGATTAAAAATTATTTATTTAAATTCGGTCTTTAATCTCCAAAAAAATTCGTCGGATATATTTTTCTTGTAGGCTATTTCACAAAATTATAACAAGTTGTATCTTCATTGTACCTATTTTATGCAAGTAACTTAAAATATCACAGAATTTCATCTAAGAACACCAAATCTCAATAACAAATATTAGCAAGTATTTTATCTTGAAAAAAATTAGGTTTATTTAATGAATATTGATACAGAATTCATATTATAATACACTGAGAAAAATGGTCTAGTTGGATTAAATAGTGATTTTGGTGGAAAGTGGAAATCAGAATTTTCTGGTAAAATCTACTAGAATTCTAGTTGAAATAACTGAAATTCTGATTGATGTAATTATTCTGGAAAAAAATACGAATTTTATTAGATTTTACCATATTGTATCAACCAGAATTCTAGTAAATTTAACCAGAAAATTTTGATTCATCCATTTTCAACCAGAAATTTTTTCAGTGATACAACTACATACTTTTTTAATACAAAGTATTATAAATTAAAATTAAAAATTATGAAAGAAAGAGTGCACAAGGAGAAGAATATTTCCGTTTCTTCTGATATTATTTAATGGATATTAATTAATGGAATTTTGGTGTTTCTAGAATTAAATGGTATTCAAAGCAAAACAAGAAGCGGAAATAACTCTTTAACATATTACGCATAAGCGATTATGTGCAAAGTGCAATGTGTATAATTTGAGAATGGAATCGGGAATATGAGAATACTATTGAAGATCAAAATCATATTTTTGATGCATCGTTAATATGAGGGAAGAGAATGGCCCTTCTCTCTCTCTATATATAATATATCGTCGTAGCGACATGTTTTCATGGAGAAGCCTCGTTTTGGGCGTGCAACTATCGGCGCTGATAACGCGATTGCGAGAGAGGGTGAATGGACCATAAATCGTGGATCGACGTGATTTGTATGGGGTATCACGGCGCTTAATGGTGTGGCTTGTCTCTATCGACATGCTCTGACCGGAAGTTCCGAGCTGCCATAGTTAGAGAGAAACACTCTGTAGACCTGTCCGCCGTAACCTGACGATTTACGTGCATTCATATCTTTTCGATATTTGGCACCATGAATGAATCGCGTCCGAGAGAATGTAGATATGTAAATTAAAAAAAAAAAAGTTTTAAATTCAAAATAATTTGGAGAAAATTAGATGAAAATTTGAAATGGAAGTACAATGTATTTTCTATAGAAATCAGATTCATATATCGGAATCCGATTTGAATTATAAATCAATGCGGCGAAAATTATTTGTACAATTAAAATATAGATATATTCCTAATGATACGTAGTTTCAACTTATGTTAACAATAATGTGCTTTATGAGGATTAAAATATTTTCTTCGATATTCTGTGATTTATATTTTCGTTAGAAAAAAAGGGAGGTAACAATGAAACGAGGGAGAAAAAAATATAATAAATATTCGAAAAGTGATAAAAAAGAGGCAGAAAGAGAAGAGTGTGTCGCGCGTGAGTCTCGGGTCGGACAGGTTGACGAATGAAACGGAAATCCTTGCCAGCGGGCGTTTATCGGAAGTTTCATAAAAAGAAAGGGGCCGCACACGTCCATGTCCAGCCCTCGAAACGGGTGCGGCTTCCGGATTTCGCGACAACCGACGGCTGTACCGATAGCTTTTTGGGGTCGTATCTCGATCCGGCCAAAAATAGCGATACACATAAGCACACATGTATATCCCATATACACAAGTGGTCAGATACGTATATACAGGGTACTTCGGAGATTGCTCGCTTTCTCTAAACGACAAATATTGGGCGGACGCAAAAGATGTTAGAAGTATATTTAATATTGTAATCGTAATGTTAGAAAAGTAATTATTGTACTTAATGTCACGAAATGTTACATCATTATATTACGCTTAAATTATTATATATGCAATTGGTCAGTGATGATTTAAATTGCAAATAAGGTATGAAATCATATTTTGCAGGTAGATTCAAATAGAACATTTTATAATTTGATATTGTATTACCGAGATACACAATATCGAAAAAAGCTCATGAAAATAAGTTGAATATACTCTCTTACGAGATGTTGGAATGAACATCTCTAAATTCTTCAAAAATTCTTTAGCGGATAAAAGCGTACGACCTCTGGGGCACCTTATATAAATACGTATATACTAAGTATATACTAAGTTTGTCCGTGGAAATCCTTATTGCCTGGGTTTGGCCGTCCATCGAAACGACCGACGCGTAGGGATCTAGGCCAAGAGTTCATCTATTTCGAGTGAATCTCCAGCTGACGTAAACGCGATCGAGACTTTAGATAAGGACTTCGCGCCGCGAAATCTAGGGGACTCCGAGTAGTGTGAAACTAAGCTTTGAGTCCCCCAAATTCTGACTCAAAGTTGGTTGGGTGGGAAAGTGAGGGATCAGCTGAAAACTACCACCAAAATGAAGAACGACTTGTAAAAGATGTATCAATACGTCTGTCATGAGATAATTCCGTCCTGAAAATTGATTCTGCTCGAAATTGAAGACTTATCGAGAGAGCTTATACATATTTTGAAACAAACTATAAGGTTTACCTATAATTTTATCTGTTTAATCTGTTTAATAAATTATTATTTATCTGTTTAAAGGGCTTCAATAAGAAACTGCACGTTGTATGAAGATAGAAAAAAAGTTTTTTCCTTGGGATATTAAATATATCTTTAGATGTAAGATATATTTTTTCTGTAGAAATTATATTTGCTTTTCTTTTAAAAGAAGCAATATCAATGAGCAATTTGTAAGCGCATATTCTTACAAAAGTTTGAAAGTTTTCTTTCTTCTCCTTTTCTTTCTATCGCAAATTAAGGGACAATAGGCAACCAAATGATAAAAAAAGTAATTGCAAATGTAATAAGGGTTATTTTATGTTGCGCCGTCACCATATTTAGAATATTTAAAGATTCTTCTAATGAAAAAGAATGAAAAAGTATGAAAATGATTAATTAAATGAAGCATTACCAATCAGCTTGTTTCCATATTTCAGATGCATATTCTACCTTTTATATCTCCTAATTCTTTATCATAAATAAGTAGAGTGCATGTTTAAAGAAAATATATTATATGTTAGGTAAATGTTATTTCATAATGCAAATATATGTGACATAATAATTGCATAAGTGGAACGCACTGCAAATGGTTAGTATTTTTCAATCAATTACAAAGGAAGATTTTAAGATATCGAAACCTCTAAAATCCCTTTGATTCGTTTTGAACACGCAACACAAGTATGCAAGAGATTTAAATGTATGAGGACAATCCTATACAAGAGCGTACACCACAATGTTGATCCGCATAACAACCATATTG